AGTCTTTAAGCACTGAGCACCATCCCTAGTCCTTTTTAGTTTTTTGTTTGTTTGTTTCATAGAGGATCTTGCTAAGTTCTTCTTAAGGGCCTCCATTTCTTGCTGAGGCTGGGGTGAAACTTGTGATCCTCCTGCTGTGGCCACTGATCACAGACATATGCTACCGTGCTCAGCTCCTGGGTGTTTCCTGAATCCCTGATGTAAATCGAAATGTGCCTTGTTTGTGTCAAGTTTCCAGGTGTCACCAATTCAGATGCCAGAATTACTTCTTCATGTCCTTCTGTATGTTAACGTCCTTCAATCTCTAAGATTCCAAAATGATGCTGATCATCATAAGAACATTAACTCACACCTTCCAAATTATTATTAGTTCAGTTGTACTAAACTGGAGTTGACTTGGAAAATGTATATTAGATAATTTATGTTGAAAACAGGGGTGGAAGAACTATTTCAATATTTAAGGAAACCAATTATCCATTTCTATTAAGAGCTCATGATATAATGAACTTTAGTTACTATTCCCTTTCATGCACCAGGCACCAGAAAAGCACTTTAGCAGGGGCACAGAGGCTATCAGAAATGCCCTGGTGCTCATGTGAGGGTTTTCCAGAGCAGCAAGTCACATTAAAAAACACCTGGGTGGTGTGAGTTGTGCCACGCACATGCACACACATGTACAGGATCAAGTCACCCTTTTCTCTACATACCCTCCCTAGTGCAGTGCTTTCATCCTCACTGTGTCATGCAACTATTGATTTCTTTGACTTTTCTCACAATGTTGCTGCCCACTATTCCTTCTCAAAAATCAATTGTTATTTCCTGACTTCCCAATTTAATTCAGAAGTTTCAGACACATTGTGTGTGTTAGTTGAGGCCTCTCCACTCCAGCCTTGTATACAGATTAGTGACATATCTCTTCCTTCCTCCTTTTCTCCCTTTGTTATTTCAGACATTACCCAGGAGGGCTCCACCACTGAGCTTCACCCTAACCCTGTTAATTGTTATTTTTTAAGAGAGTGAGGCTGGCCTTGAACTTGTAGTCACCCTGCCTCAGCCTCCTACAGCTGGGACCATAGGCATGTGCCCTTGTGTGCCCTGCAGCTGATCTCTTCCTTTTCCTTGATGCCTTCTTGGCCTGCTGATGACTCTGGGACCACCACTGTGTCACACATTCTTTTCTAAGTCTCATGTGTTGTGTTGTACATAGGCAAGTTAAAGAGCATTATAAAATCTTGTAGTTTGTATGTATTATTTGGAGAGGCACCTTCTCAAAATATACTTTGCCCTATTATTAATGCAGTTTATTTCTTTTCTTTTCCTGGTGCCAGGGACCCAATCCTGCCTTGTGCATGCTAGGCAGGTGCTCTAGCACTGAGCACTCCCCTAGCTCAGGTGGTGAGTTTGTCGCTGCTGTGTGTGTGGACCCACTACTGTCCCCATCAGCAGATGCAGCTCTGCAGGTGTATCCTCGTGTTTGCAGCTTGTCCCGTTTTGTCTTAAACTTCTTTTACAGCACTGAATTTTAAATCCAACTCAGCTTTTCTCCCCATGATTAATCCTTGGGTGGAGTAAGCCAGAAAACCCAGGCTGGATTTCTCTCTGTGTTTAGGGTACTGTCATACATAGGTGACTGCATGACCCATATGATTCTGCAACATGCACACTCAGAAAAATGAGAGATGATATCCCATCTATGTATGATATATCAAAGTGCATAAATGCATTCTATAGTCATGTATAAGTAACTGAAAGAAATAAAATAAATATAAAACAAAACAAATCCAGGTGCAATGGCTCATGCCTTCATTCCAATGGCTCAGGAGGCTGAGGCAGGAGGACTGTGAGCTCAAAGCCAGCCTCAGACATAGTGAGACAGTAAACAACTCAGTGAGCCCCAGTCTCTAATAAAGTACAAACTATAGCTGTGGAGGTGGCCCAGTGGTTGAGGGCCCCTGAGTTCAATTCACAGGACACCCCCCATTCAAAAAAAATAGGGAAACGAAAAAAACCTAAGGAAGAAGGGTATGATACCAGTGTTGTTGGGCACAGTGTCACACAGCTATAATTCCAGTGGCCAAGCAGGCTGAGGGAGAGGGATCACAAACCTAGACAGCCTCAACTTAGTGAGGCCCTAAGGAACTTAGCAAGATCTGTGTCACAATAAAAAATCAAAAGGTCTGGGGATGTTGCTCAGTGGTTGTGCTCCCCAGGCTCAATCCCCAGCCCCAAATAATAACGATATAAAAATGGATTTAGTCTTTCCTCTTCATTTGCATTGCTCTCATCTTCCTAATGGCTCTAATTCACAACCTGTCCCTGATCCTTCTCACCCTCCTGGATGTCCGCCTCCACACACCTCTCTATTTCCTGGTGTATTGGCTGTCCCTCACTGACCTGCGTGACATCTCCTTATGTTTGCATTCATTGGAATCCCTTTTTTCTGTGGTCAAGTACTTCTTGCTCTCTGCTTTATGGCCTTGGGACAGGGAAGAAGAATGTCTTCTCCCTCTGCAGCACCGCCTCACTGTGGTGACCTTCCACTCAGCACCCTTTGCTCTCACCCCCAGCCATGATCCTTCTGGTCTTCAGCAGGGAACAAGGTTCTGCCTGTCTTCCACACCACCCTCACCCAATGCTCAACTCCATCTTCTACAACCTGAGGAACATGGAGGAGACGTCGAGGCCCTGAGCAGATGGACCCAGAGGTCTGTTCTGTGTGATATAGATAAAAGGTCTGCCCCTTTCCCCGGGACTTAGGTGCAAGTCCATTAAGCATTGCGTAGGAACTGAAAATATTATCTTATACCAAGAGTGTGGAGACTAAAAACCATCTACAATCAAATAAACTGCTCAGGTCTGTACAAAATTGTCTTCTGAATGTGTGGAATTTAAATATGATTTTAGCATCCTGCTTCCCTGTGAACCAGAGACAGCCCCACACCAGGACCCCAACATGAGACACCCCTCATCGGAGCAGAGAGGTGCCCTGACTGGGGTTCCCTATTCACCCCATGGTGGCTCCACAGTTCAACATCAGACACATATAGGTTTGAGGCTGCCACTCCCACAAAACTGGGATGTCACAGCTTCAATCAAGGGACGACAATAAGGACCTGGTGAGAAGGTCTCCAAGGTCCCTGTGGGCCTTGCTACACCTGTGTCTCCTCTTCACTATTATTCTTTACACAGAATATCTTTATATTTTGGGATATTATTCTTTAAATAGGTGTCTCTTAATTGTCCTTTTAAAATTATGATTAAAATTACTTCCCAGTGTAGGGAATAGTATACAAGTCTTACAATGTTTCACGGACTATAGGTCCAGTTACAGAATGTATATAATACCAATGAATTTCTAACAATGTAAGTTTTATTGCTCAAAACTCACATATGGCTTTAATGTGGAGAACATTTTGAATATAATGTTTTCTCAAATCCCACAAACATCCAATGAACAGAAATGATATGCAAGAATCAGCAGCAATCATTGCAATTACTGATATCTTTGTATCAGTCAAATTTACTCTCCAATGAGAAGTGTCAGAATTGGAATTTAAGTCAGCATTTTAAAACACTTATTGTTTGATCAAGGTTGTATAAATTTGATTCATTATAAATTGGTCCTTGATCAAACAGCACAAATTGTAGGTATAAGCTTAATATTTTAATAAGTTCTGTCATGTCAGAATGTGGAGAAAAAGCTTACATCAGCATAATAAAATCAGGGAAATAGGCTAGAATATCCTAGAATTGATTGTTGAAATATATATAGTCAGTCCAGTTATACATAAATCTGTTTCTCAATTGTTTTGACCTTTCCATGTCATCTGTCTAGATAATTATATTAATATTTTCATCATGAAAATTTAGAATATAAAATCCTTTCCATTTATCTGAAGATGATTTCTTTCTTTTTAGGACCTCCTAGTAGAGATCCTTTTATTTCTGTCACTTAGGGCTAGATAATCATACTAGTAAACGTGTGTTTCCTCTCTGTAGAAACATCTTCATTTTCTTCTATAAAAATCTTTCTTTTTGTTTTACTTTGGGACAATTTTTATAAATCTTAGAGTCTAAACAAATTACTTATTGTACCTTGATAAGAAGTGTGTCAGTGAAAGTATAGTTAAAGCTGTTGGACATTTTTGTTGACAGAATCATCTATTGATCACCTTATAAAAATTGGTACAGTAATTTGATAATTAGAGATTGCTTGATGGTTGTATATCTCTTGAAATAGATATTTTATAATAAAATACATTCATCTTAAATATCTGTACTATAAAATGCAGAGCATGAGATAGATGCATGTATAAGAAATATAACTGAAGTGTTTTCTTTTCAAAAACGATTAGAAAAAATAGATACATATTATTTAAAAAATCAGACATATATGTCAATTATTTTATGAATTAAGGACTCTAGATTATCCAAATAACTGGAAAGATATGCATTCGTAATAAAAATATAACTTACTGTTATATAACCACGGAATTTTAACGTGAGCCTCATTAAATCATGTGGCTCTTAAAAGTATTTGGGCCCATTTATTTTACTTTGGACTAGTAGTGCACTCATTCTATTTGCACGTCACGTGATGTGGTTAAAAAATCCCTGTGTATGCATTTGTTTGTTTATTGTAATTATGTGGTCAGGAAGGAGAAGAAGGATTTCTTGGTCATCACAGAAACATTGTGAGAAAAGATCTCAGATGCTGGCTTTGATGTCTGAGGGGTGCAAAACGCATTCCCAAGATCTCCAAAATTGTAAGAAGACTATGTTTGTGACCTCTCATCAACGGAACATTATTTAGTAATATTACCATGAAGAGCAAAAAGAAGCACTGTAAAGCAAGCTGTTGACACACACACACACACACACACACACACACACACAGAGAGAGAGAGAGAGATTTAGCTTCAGAGCGAGTCAGGCTTAGGGCTGCAACAGAGAAGCCTGTGGAGTCAGATTTTGCCTGAAAGAGATCTCTTGTATTTCAGGTGCACATTCTTAAAAATGCAGGCTCCTTGCAGCTCCAGTGGCCCACAAAAGTAAGCAAGAAGCACGGGTTAGTGGCTGGGAGGCGGGACCACAAGCCCTGCCTGGGTGACAGAGGAAGGACCCATGGGAAGCCCTGGAAAATGGGAAAGGCCTGATGAGGCGGCCAGGCTCCGCCCCCAGTCTCCCCTGGTTACCATGGTGATGGAACAGCCCAGAACTGGCTGTGGCTGCTGCAGCTGCCTGGGTCCCCAGGTCAGGCGTCAACTCTCTCCTCCTTAATGGGCTGTTTCCCTGTGTCTTCCCCTCGCCCCTCATGTTCTCCCATCTTTTGCATTTTCCCTTTCCAGAGCGTGGGCACTTTAAAACAGTGATTTAAAGGCAGAGGTCAGCATTACTGTCTGGCCCTAAGGCAGTCTGCCTTTGGCCCCCTGGCCAGGTTGCTTAAGGGTCAAAAGCACAGCTGGGTGGGGCTAGTTAAGACCTTTTAGGGAGCAGGGGCTGGTCCTCTGTCCTGCAGCTGAGTTAATTAAAGCTGTTCCCACCCCAATGGGACAAGAATGCAGGGAAGAGGCTCAATACAAATTGTTTGAGCACATTTGAGAAAAACACAATTTGCCTCTCTACCAGCAGAAAATCCCCTGTATCAAGTCGCACCACGAAAAATGTTTCCTTTTTCCTCTTACCCTCCAAACATTGACTCCTAGAATATAGATTCCAAAAAATCTTTAGGTTGCGAGGGGGCAATATTGCGATGTATGCAGTCGAGGGGAGAAATAAAGAATGTCCACGGGCTTCTGCCCCTTCCAATGCTTTATTCACTCAAGTTACACCATACAGTTTCACTCTATAGGTTCTTAAGCAAGAAAACACAATCCTTAATGCTGGGCACTGCAATAGACATAATCAATCCACAGCAAACAGTTCTAGATTCATTCTAAGCACTGCAAAACACACTTAATCATGACAGGCTAGTGACAGACATTCCCTCTGCATGCTAAGTTCAAAGGTCTTAAGTCCTAGGCTTTGAGTCCAGCAGATGCACACTCATTCAGACCTCGGTGATCAGGTCTGGAAACAAGGTAGGCTTTACCTAGCGTGGAATGTGGAGCGGATGACCGGTTGAGGAGAGGGTCATAGGGAGGAGTTGGGGCTCTCACCAAGGTCCAGATGAGGTGGTAGAGTTTGAGAGTGGTGAGTATCATGCAGAGAATCAGGAATGATGCCAAGTGATGGGATGTCAGGTCCTCAGCAGGCTCTCCAGCTCTAGTGCATCCTTGTTTCAGCTGGCTGAATCCCTGTTCATCAGCTCTATCATTTATACTAAATTTGGGGGCTTTTTACCCCCCTTTCAATCCCTACCAGCCACCACTGGATTTCTCAGTGATGTTATTTTCCCTGAGGTCAGAAACATGTGGTCTGGTGGTCTCCACCTTGATCTTCTCCCTTTCCCTCTTATCAGGCAAGGACACCCTGCCAGAGGCTTCTCTCTCTTTATCAGAGTGAGGGGAAGGAACTTGTTTGAGGCCTTACTGGAGGGATCTGTGGATGTGCCTGGTGAAACTGCAGGTTAAACTGAAGTTTTTAAAGTGGAGTTGCTTAGGCTCAGGCCTAAGGCCATCCTAATGTAAGGGTCAGGCGAAGCGTCGGAGAAAGAGACCACCAAGTGACCACTCATGCAATTGGCAGAAGGGGATTTATTGAACCAGCATGCTGGGGCTCCGTGCCCACTCAAGAAGGGAGAACAGCCCAGAGCCCCAAGCAGGGGCTGAGCACTGCTTAAGTACACTTTTTTTGGGGGGAGGGCGGGGATTTTACATACATCACAGTCACCTTTAACAAATCATCATACACCGCAGGAAAGTCAAGCAACAATTCTTAGACTTGATTAGTACATACATTGGCGGAACAGGTCAGGTGGGAGTGATAGGTCAGTTCTAAATGGAGTACACATTCAAACTGATTGGTTTTAGGGCCTAAAGGACTACGTGACCAGTTACACAGAGTCCCGAGTTATTAGACAACCAGGGAGTCAGTGGGAATATTTACTGGGCAGTTCTAGTATTGTCCTAACAGCTACAGGGATTTCAGGTTTTGCAGGTAGCATAGAAACCTAACAATACCTAATCCTTTACATTTTAACTCAGACCTTGCAGCTTAGAAACTTTACAACACCCGGTCCTTTACCCTTTAACTTTTACACTTTAACTTCAATTTTTTTTACCCTTACATTCCCCAGTCCTTTTTCTGACTACTTTTAAACTTAAAAGTAATGCATCACGATTATTGAAGGGTTTCACATTTCATGAGTTCTTTTGCGTTCCCTAGAATCATTTTCAGCATGGCCTCCATTTTAGATTCCACTCGGTATTAGACCCTGATTTATCTAACTACACTGACTACCTAACTTTAAATCTGGCTTTATTCCCCCCTCTAATTTGGGAACTCCTTACTGCTGTAAGGAAGGGGGGGGGGTGAAGAGAATCTTTCTGGCTTCTTCAGGCTGAAAAGGGACGGTGTGGGGACAAGCAGTTTGGAGTCCCCCTTTGAAAATATGTTTTTTTTTTAAGCCTAAAATTACCATACAACTTTAAAACACCAGCTTGATACAAGGTTCTTTTGAAGCTTCTACCTTACAGACTTGTATACCTGGAAGATATGAACACATTAACAGCACCATAATTACATTGATGTTTTTATATTAACCGAGGTTAGCTTTTAAAGAAACAACATTACAGTATTGAAAAATAACAGCTGTTGTTTAACCATAGTTGTATAATCTTTAATTTCTTTAAGATTATTTGCTCAAAAAAAAAATTATTTGCTCAAACTTACACATATAACCAACTTACACAAACCTTTTTTTATCACTTACTTAAACCCTCTTAATTACTTAATCACATAGACTCTCTTATCCAGAAACACATTTTCCCTCTATTAAATCCATATCTAGAACCTTTTAGTTTCTCTTTTTCATCTGTTAACCTCCTTCTGTTCACACTTTAAAACAATATCTGTAAATTTCTGAATTTAGGCAGATTATTTCATAGACATCAACATTTTATTACGGTCTTTTTGAACACCTAGAAAAACATATAAGCTTAATTTTAAAGACATCTTTACTTTTATCTGTTTACCCAATTTAAATCGAACCATTTGAATCACCTGAATCAAAGATATTTGGATCCATTTTTAAATTTTTTTATGAGCGCTCCTCATCTGTCAATTGTCATATCACTGCAGGATATATGGACATACACACATACAGACATACCGACATACAACACATAACACAAGTGTAACACCCTTGTAGCTTTTTCAGGTGAAATCTCCATTGCAATGTTTCAAAACTCCAAGTTGATCAGAAATAGGACTGATCAGAAAACATTAGCCCATCTGTGGGATTAAAATCATGAGGTCCAAAAAAATACAGAATCTAAGAAAAAGCAAGAGTCCTAAAAAAGATGACTGGCCAGTAATTAATAAATACCACATAATTTACTTTTTTGGTTGGGGTCTAGTTTAAGTTCAGGTAAAAAGACCCTTTAACTCTTTTTTTTCCCTTGGGCCTGAAATCTGTCTCCTGCTGAGTGTTCCAGGCTTCTTCTATTTGCATATCAGCTTAAGTCCTGGCTGAGGTCTGGAAGGAACTGGGAAAACTGGAATTCTGAGAAGAAACCTCATGCCTAAGGCATTTTAGCTATAAGTCATAATTTCCAAGTTTAAGATGGAATTCTCAAAATTTTATATCTTTATATCTCTTTACATTAGAAACACTTGCCCACACAAAACTGAAAATAGGATCTTACTTGATAATATAAAGGCCACCATCAGAGGAAATTTCCTCAGGATCATTAAGCTGCTTCCTTTCTTCTGAAGTTCCTAAAGTAGTATTAAGTTTTATCATGTATATCCAAAATTAAACCTTAAAAATTTCCAAGACTGTTGCCAATTAATGTCATTTTAATAAGCCAGACCAACGTTTTAATTTAGCACCCCCACCTTTTTTCCCCTGAATCTTACACACTGAGGGGAACAGATATCATATCATAATTTATTATCTTTGCCCAAGTTAGTGCACTGGAATACCTAGTGGAATTTTCTCAGGCTACCCAGTTCAAAATTGAAACTTCCTAATTTTTTTATCCTAAGTATTTAAGTTTTCTAGCATGAACTATCTGAAATCAAACTAAACAATTGCTTAAACCCAACTTTTAACTGCAAGATAGTGCAATGCTTTAGAAACCCATTCAGATACCAAATTGTTACAATAGAAAATCATCTTTTAGATACCCATTTAGCCAAGATCATCCCCAAGAGACAATTTATAATATCAACACATTACTGCATTTATTGTCCCTTTAGTTAAGCAAACAGAGGTGGGGTAATCCCTAAAGTGCAGGTAAGGAAGGAGGAAACTCCCCAAAGCAAAATGGCTTTGGCAGCTGCTGGGAGCCCCTTAGTTCCACCTTTTACTTATAGGATTAGTTCCTCTGGCTTGGTCTGACCCCAGGCACTAGGCATTTCTCACATCTCCTAACTTTTCAGTAGTCAGCTTCCCAAAAAGTTCATCTTCTGCTTGCAGTTGTTTTGAGTTTGAGAAAAGTTTAAGCGAGATATCAAAGTTTTTAGACCCCAGGCATTTCCCTCTGCAGTGGGCGTGCTCAAGCCAACTACAGGAAGAAAAGAAAACACTGCTTCCCTATTCTCACTTAACAAAAGGGGGGTAAAGTTTATCAAAGTTCTTTAAAACACAGCTAAGAGAGGTGTAAAAGGTGAGAACAGAAAAGCTGGCAGTTCTATTGACTTTTGGTCCCTCACAGGAGAAGCATTAGTTTAAAATTTAGCTAAAGTTACTTCCACACATCTAAGGCCGTTTGGAATTTGGGACTCTGCATCGGTCCAAAGTAAAACAATGCCATCACACTTAGCAGAGACACAGACAAAAGGACACACAAAGATCATCATGCAGCTCCCATTCATTCACAACCCCAAGATCTACAATCTTGTGACTCAGGGGGAATGGAGGGAAAAGGGGGAGGAGCAGAAGGATTGAGTGATAGGGTCTTGGGGGAAGGGGTCGGAGTGAAAGCAGGAACCAGGAAAGGCTTCACCCATATGGGAGGAAATTCACAGAGGTCCAGCCAGGTTAAAATATATGGCTGCTGGTCTGGATGGCCATGCGGCCCCAGCTGAAAGACAATGTCTCTGACTTTGCAGATTAGAGGGAGGTGGAAGGACCCTCCTGGGGGCCATTCAACTCCGAGGGTGAGCCATTCTGAAGTGCATAGTGTCTGCTAGGTCTGGTGTTTCACTGAAAAAGAAAGATTCTGGGCCCTTGAGCGGACATCCGCCCAGTAATCAAGGGTAAGGGACAGAGGCATGGAATGGCTTTGTCCCATACTGGGAGTTACTCAAACAAAGACAGGGACAGGACAATACAAACGTGACACAAACACGGACACACATTAAACGTTTAACACAAGTTTAGAAGCAAAGATTAAAGACAGGCAGTGAATTCGACCTGAGAAAAGGAATTGTCGGCAAAACCAAACGGGTTGGCAGCTGAGTACAAACGAGGGCACTCTTGTCCCTCTACCAACTGGGGACACTTTCTCCCCGCCCCCTCCCCCGAATCCTCCAAGGCATCCCTTAAGAGGAGTGGCCTGTGGATTAGCACACGTCTGTCACCACTGCCAGGGAGAGTTTACACTCTCCGCTGGCAGCCATGCCGCCAACGCAAGCAAATATCCAAGCCAAAAACCAAACCTGAACCAAAAAGCTCTGAGAACTTACGCTCTCCACCGAGCCAAAAACCAAAAAGCTCTAAGTGATCACAAAGGAAAAACAAGAAGGAGAAGAAAGAGGAGAAGAAGAGGAGGAAGAAGAAGAGGAAGAGGCGCCTTACTTACCCCATAAAGGAGTCTGTTGGAGGTCTCCTTGTCCGGCGATAAGATTTTCCCGGCCAACCCACCAAATGTAAGGGTCGGGCGAAGCGTCGGAGAAAGAGACCACCAAGTGACCACTCATGCAATTGGCAGAAGGGGATTTATTGAACCAGCATGCTGGGGCTCCGTGCCCACTCAAGAAGGGAAAGCAGCCCAGAGCCCCGAGCAGGGGCTGAGCACTGCTTAAGTACACTTTTTTGGGGAGGACGGGGATTTTACATACATCACAGTCTCTTAACAAATCAATATACACCGCGGGAAAATCAAACAACAACTCCTAAACATGATTAGTTCATTCATTAGTGGGAACAGGTCAGGCTGGAGTGATAAGTCATTTCTAAACGGGATACACATTCAAACTGATTGGTTTTAGGGCCTAAATGACTATGTGACCAGTTACACAGAGTCCCGAGTTATTGGACAACCAGGGAGTCAGTGGGAATGTTTACTGGGCAGTTCCCGTATTGTCCTAACAGCTACAGGTATTTCAGGTTTTGCAGGTAGCATAGAAACCTAACAATACCTAATCCTTTACATTTTAACTCAGACCTTGCAGCTTAGAAACTTTACAATACCCGGTCTTTTACCCTTTAACTTTTACGCTTTAACTTCAATTTCTTTTACCCTTACACATTAAGTACAGACAGGTAAATGGAGTCAGTTAGAATCAAGAAGGCCAATTTTGAGTGAGTCTGGCAAGTTGGAGACTGTCCCCTGAGGGATAGAAATGTTAATTCCTTCAGATCCCTTGATCCACCCTAATTAAGAACCTGCCCTTGCTTCTTCCTGTTGCTAAGGTAGCCTGTCCCAGGTATTGCCCCTTTCTACAGTGAGCCATAAAGTTGCTAATGTGTCCTTGGCTGCTGCACCCTGCCCTTCTCCCTTCAGCCCCCCTGTTTGTCACCTTTGTGCCATCTCACCAAGCATTCCTGGGCCTAGTCACCAAGGCCTGAAGGAGAAAGATAAGGGGAAAGGAATGGAGAACAAAGGAAGCCTAGGACTCATAGAAAGGCTGAACACTTTGCTTCTGGGAATACCAGGATACCAGCTATGGCCCCCTTCTCCCTCCTGGGGAGAAGTCTATGTTACTCTTTCTAATGTAGACCCTGCTTTCTGTGCTTGCCTGGGCTTGCTTCTCTAATGTTCAAAGTTCAACGTGTGAGGGGGCAGAATTCCTCACCAGTAACCAGCGGTATCAACACCACAGGCCATATGTACCCCTAGTGGGGTTTCATATGCAGGCTTTATGGGCCGAGCTGAGCAGGGTTAGTGTTTCTTTCTGGTTTAACTATCAGTTGAAACCCAGGAAGCTGAGAGCCCTGGGTCAGCATCTAGGGATATGGTGCTTACCAGGCAGGAGCAGGTGGGCTTGTGGCTTTTCTTGAAAATGTTGGTGCCTCTAAACCACTGACATAGAAGGAACACAGGGGATGGGGGCCTTTCCTGAGAGGTCAATTCAGGTCAGCCTGTGCAATGGGGTGAAGTGTGTCAAGGGGGCATGTGTCCATGAGTTCACAGACATTTTATGAGACCCACAGATGCCTGAAGCCACAGATGACACCAAACCTACATACAGTGTGCCCTCTACACACATGCCTATGACTTATTACCCTTTCGATAAAACCTGAGAGTCCTGGAAAGCCCCTGAAGAGAGGGCTAAGGACATGGTGCCCTTGTCTTCCTGGTGTAGCTTCACTGATCAAACTTCCTTTCCTGCTTTTCATCATGACCTTTTCTGTTTGGATTTGGGCTAAACAGATGACCTGATGTGTGGGATCACCAGAGTCAGGTTGCTTCCAACAGCTCCCTAATAGTGGAATGTAGAACATGGACATTAAGCACAAGGTGCTCATTTTATTTCAACCCCACATTGCTGCCTTAGGGAATTGACTCTCACCGCTTTCCCCCTCGATTCTGCTGGGGAGAGAACACTGAGCCAAATCACCAACATCAATTGCTTCCTTTCTTAGCTCAGGCTGTTTCCTCAAAAGATCAGTGTCCAGAAGGTGATGAGAATTATTGAAATAATTGTCAAACTGTTTTTATTTTTACATATCAAATATGATATTTTAAAATCTTGTTTCAACAATTTTGAGACTATGTCTTGCTAAATTGCCTGAGGTCACACCAGCTGATACTATATATGTATATAGGTGTCTTTTTCTTTGAGGTTCTGTGGGATAATTTCTGTGGGCTCAACCTCTGAGCTAGATCCCCAACTCTCTTTATTGTATTTTAAGCTAGGATCTCCCTGTTTGTGAAGCCAGATTGAAAGATAGTAGTTTCTTTAGCTAGGTAAGTGGGGTCTAATATCAGGTCCAATATAAAAAATAATTCAATCTGATCTTAGCCTGGGAAACCAAAAAAAAACACCTGAGGAGTGAAATTTTCATGTCCCCTTGGCCTTGGGCAAGTGCTAAATAATTGCTAATGAAGTAGCTCCCAGTGAAACAGGGAGATGACAATCGAACCACCCTAGGCTGTTCCTGCCCAGGTTTCTGCTACCTGCCCCACCAGTCCACCAGTCTCCCACCCTTTGTCCTTCCCACCCATATCCCCTACCATGTGCACAATAAAGGGAAACAAAGGACAGGAATGTTGGAGGACAAAAGAAGATCTTAGGTTTAAGAGGGAGAAGACCTCCTGAAAGGAAAGTGACCACAACACTCGGAGTGACCAAGAGATCTTTATTGCAGCAGTGCAACAAAGAGAAAAGAAAGAAGGAAAGAGAGAGAGAGAAAAGAGAAGAGATGAACAGGGAGAGAGCAAGAGCAAGAGAGAGACAGAGAGCGCACGTAAGAAAGATAAAGACCAAGAGAGAGAGAGCAAGAGAGAAAGATCAAGAGAGAGAGAGCAAGAGAGAGGGGGCCTGGCAGGAGGGAGTTTTTATAGCCCAAATCTAATGGGGCCTCTGGGTCTGTAAGCTGCCTTGTTGGCCCAAGGGGGGGTTAAGTGTTCAGCCTTAAGCAGGGTTGAATGTTCAGACTTGAGGCAAACAGGCGATAAAGGACCAGATAGAGGGGGCTTTGAGTGCGTGGGCTATCTTGCAGCCAACATCTGTTCAGCCTGCCGTGCAGACAACACAGTTCAGCCTGCTCTGCACCCAACACCTCCCCCTTCCAGGGATTCTGCCTTTTGGGTCCCCTTCTTCCTGGGGTGGGGGGAGTCTTTTGTGCTTTCACTTATTAAAGCCTTGCACTTTCCACTCTCCACCTGCTTCTCTGGTGTTATACTGCAGGATTCGGGGGGAACAAGGACTCCTTATGGTAAACAGCATTAGCATTTGTAGATGCTCACCTGACCTTGGGCTCCACCTGCCTTAGACTCCTTAAGTAATTGTTTTTCTTGATTTTTTTTTTAAATTGTTGTTTGTTTCTGTGGTGAGTTAAAACCCAGGGCATCACCCGTGCTGGGAAAGCAGTCTCCCTCAGCCAGAGCTCAATCCCAGATGTTACCATTTGTACCACGTTCAAGCAAAGGCTTCCCACCTGGATTAGTTCCCAGCACAGGAAAGAAGCTCCACCTGAAAAAGGCTGGGGCCAAGGATCTGCCACTCTAGGCAATTTTGGTTAGTGATTGGATAACCTTAGCTGTCAGTCACAATGCAGAGGCCTGACTGGACGTGGCCCATTAGGCATGCTGGGGTGGAACTGTCCAATCAGGTTCCAAAACAGAGGGGAAGGGCGGGCTTCCGTAATGTCGCGGGCTTTTCTTCCTCACCAACTTCGCTCCTCCCTTTCCGGGCCCCACATGCTCTGCCAGAAAGGCCTAGGTGACTCTGAGCAGCCTGTGTCTCCGAGATCTCTGGTGTCTGGAGGTTCTCCAGCGAACACTGAGTCCCCAAGGAAGACAAAAATGGTGAGTTTGTGTCCAGGGCTGAAGGTACGCGGTCAGCACCTCCCTTGGGGCCCCGCAAACGGTGAGCTGCAGAGCCTGGCCGAGCAGCGTCTGGAGGGTGCCCTGGGTCTCTGTCCCCTGGTCCTGGGGGTTGGGCTGCATGGTAGGAAGCAAGGCCACAAATCCCCTTTCCTTCCCCCAGTTTAGTTTCTCCGAAGGCTGCTGTAGGTCCTTCATTTGCATTTGCCTGCTGCATTCTAAAATGCCATCTTCCTCTCCACTTCCCCTCACTCTCAAATATCTGGTCTTCGTCATGTGTTTCAAATGGACACAGTCTACTTATTTTCACTTTTTCTCTACTGATATATATATGTATTTTTTAAAGTACTGGCAGATGCTTTGTATTTATTTATTTATTTATTTATTTTTTAGTGTTTCTTTTTAGTTTTTGGCGGACACAACATCTTTGTATGTGGTGCTGAGGATTGAACCCGGGCCGCACGCATGCCAGGCGAGCGCGCTACCGCTTGAGCCACATCCCCAGCCCTCTACTGATATATTGCAAGGAATATTTTGTTTTTGTATTGGGGATCAAAACTAGAGAAGCTGTATCAGTGAAATACTCAGGCACAGCCACCACCAATTTTTTTTTTTTTTTTTTTTTTTTTTTTTTTTTACTGTGGCTCAGGCTGCTGGCTCGGTAGGGCTTTTTTTTTTTAAAGAGAGAGTGCGAGAGATAGAGGTAGAGAGAGAGAATTTTTTAATATTTATTTTTTAGTATTTGGCAGACACAACATCTTTGTTTGTATGTGGTGCTGAGGATCGAACCCGGGCCGCACGCATGCCAGGCGAGCGCGCTACCACTTGAGCCACATCCCCAGCCCCAGCCACCACCAATTAAAAAACAACAACAACTAAACAAAAACAAAACAACAACAACAAAAAAAAACATGAGATATACCAGTGGCTTTGACACTGTCCTCCCACTTGTGATCTTCCTGCCTCAGCCTCCTGAGTCCCTGGGATTACAGGCCTGTTCTACTGTCCCTGGCAAGAATAACACTTCTGTTTTCTGTTTCTGAGTATTATACTTGAGGGAAAACAATAGTCACTTGACACATCCTGTGTTCAGGTAAAATAGCTGCTTTAAATGAAATAAGGCAGTTGGTTATTGGTACTAGGGATATTGAATCTTCGTTTACATCCCCAGCCCTTTTTTATTTGTTTTTTTGTTTTTGGCAGAAGTTATTTATTTATTTTACTTGGTTTTCATTACTTATACATGATAGTAAAATGCATCCTACATAAATAGACTGTAGCTTCTCTTTTTTTTTGGTTGTACCTAATGTCCACTCACACTGGTCATGTAGGCACATATGCAAATAGGATAATAATGTCTGATTTATTCTCTTGTCGTTCATCTCCAGCCCTTTTAAATTTTGTTTTCAGACAGGATCTGGCTATGTTGTCCAGCCTCACCTGGAACATGTGATCCTCCTGCCTCAGCTTCTCAAGCTGTTGGAATTAAAGGCACTGGCCACCATACCTGAGGAAAATAGTTTATTTTCACCCAAATATTAATGACCATCCTCAGGAACGTGGATTCAACGTATCCTCAATGATGTATGTGTCCCATTGTTGAAGATATTACATGTTTTTTTTAAGACCAGGGATTGAACCCAGGGGTACTGAAACACTGAGGCAGATCTGAAGCTCTTTTTATATTTTATTTTGAGACATGATCTCACTACATTCCTTAGGGCCTCACTTAGTTGCTGAGGCTAGTTTTGAATTTAGCAGTCCTCCTGACCCAGTCTCTCAAGCTGCTGGGATTACAGTTGCGCCCCACTGTGCATGACTGACAAGAACATTTGTAAAAGAAAGTTATGCCTGAATACATTAACCAAGTGCATTGGTAGGATCATCAGATGGGTGGCTACAGTAAAAAAGGGGAAATTTCTTCTGTAGGTCTGTTATTACATTGTTAGCTTTGGAAGATGGTGATTATATGTTGGGTAAGGTTGGTAATATATTCTGAGGTCATTTGTTTGGAGAATTTTGGGCTAATACAGAAATTAAGGTAATTGGCTTTGAAAGAGCTTGAGAGAGCCCAAGATAATTCTTGCCAACCATACAGAACCCTGTGTTATACCCTCTTGGTGGTTTAGATCCCCAAAATCAGGTGGTCTGAAGGTTCATTGATACAGAGCAAGTTCATAGAGAACTTTAGTTAACACCTGCAAAAATTCTGGGTTCTTTTTTATCTTTCTTAGGTGTAGACATCAAATCTGATTTTCTCAGCCAGGTTTTCTTTGGACACCTCAGAGAGTCCTATGTTCTCAGCCACTATCCATTCCTGGGGCTGCCACCATGTGCCCACAGCTGTCCTGTCCCCTGCATGGTACAAGGAATTTCAGGCCCTAGATCAGCTCCTCTTAGAGGACAGCCAAAATTGTGAGGTACAGCCTGTTGGGAGATCAGCTGAGTTCTTGGGGCTAAGGAATGTCCTGGATCAAGCCTCATCTAGACAACTAACTTCTTGGGACCTTGATTTTCCCAAGCCCTGTTCCCAGTCCTTGGAGAAAGTTGGACAGGCAGCCTGTGGATGCTGGTGCTGAGGGGCCAGGTCAGCAGTTACTCCTGCCCTTTCAATCTCTCACAGTGTGAAGGAGCAAAACCTCTCCCAGAGCATAAGGACCACCCACCCCAGTGCAGAGCTGTGCAAACCTGAAAAGCCTCGTAGACTGGAATCATGGTCCAGGTTCATGGGAGAGTGATCCTGGAGGCTTTCAGTGAGCAAGACCTGGAGGGAGCATGTCCCAGCTGTCAGGGACCTTCCCTTCCCCTTGAGCCTGACACATGCGTGCTCCCTCAGCACCAAAGCTTTCTGTGTATCATTTTGAAATGATGTGCTCACGTATCTGAGGGCCAGGTTTATTTATTCAGAGCCAAATGGGATGGACTATTATTAAAGAGGCAAGAAAGAATTGGATTTTAAAGTCTAGTTATATTTTCATTGTCAAAATTCCGAACTTACAGCCAGGCTGCTCCAGGGGCTGAGACAGGAGTGTTGCAAATTTGAGGACAGCCTCAGCAACTTAGCTGGGCCTTATGCAACCTGGTGAGACTGCATCTCAAAATAAAATATAAAAATGACTGGGGATGTGGATCAGTAGTAAAATATCTCTGGGTTTAATTTGGGGGTACAAAAAAAAAGAACACACCTAATTACTTAATTTACCATTTGCTACCCCTGAGTTTATATAGAATGTTTGTAAGATTCAATCTTGTCTTTTCAGTGATTTCAAATTGAAATCCAGTCCTAGATTCCAAAATCCCACATAAGATACAGAAAAACTCTGTCTTGCATTATTGCTGCAGATTTTGAGTCCAATTCTACAAAAATAGTGGTGGATAAATTTATGAATGTGATTTCATGAAAACTAGTATCTGCCCTTCACAAGGTGATGAATTCGACAAAGGATGACAGTTTTTCACTGTTGTTGTCTGGACTTGGCAGGTTCATGGTTTTTTTGGTATCAGGAATGGAGCCCAGAGGTGCTTAGCCACCAGCCCCTTTTAGATTCTTTGTTTTGGTACAGAGTTCTCAGCGGACACAACATCTTTGTTTGTATGTGGTGCTGAGGATTGAACCCGGGCCGCACGCATGCCAGGTGAGCGTGCTACTGCTTGAGCCACATCCCCAGCCCAATGTACTTTTTTTTAAATTTATTTTTCAGTTTTCCGTTTATATAACATCTTTATTTTATTTTTATATGGTCCTGAGGCTCGAACCCAGCGCCCTGCGCATGCGAGACGAGTGCCCTACTGCTTGAGCCACATCCCCAGCCCCATTCATTGTAAATTTTAATGACAATTTTGACAATACCTGAAATACCCAACTATGATCATTTAACCACTGAATATCAGTGAAATAGTAAATGACACTTGTTTTCTGGAAAGGAGAAATACATGCCCCTAAATAAGGGTGATGATCCCCTCAAGAGCACTCCCACTATGTCACCTGATTCCTGTTCCCTCCTAAGTGCCTCCTCCTAGGGCCACCCCTTTAGGAGCTGGCCTTTTACCTTATGAAATTTGGGTGCAACATAAATGCTCTCTCTACTGTCTCTGTTCTGTACAAAATTTTGACTTGTCTTGGATACAGTCTAATATTTTGAATTTTTTTTAGAGAATTTTTTTAATATTTATTTATTTTTTGGTTTTTGGCGGACACAACATCTTTGTTTGTATGTGGTGCTGAGGATCGAACCCGGGCCGCACGCATGCCAGGCGAGCACGCTACCGCTTGAGCCACATCCCCAGCCCTTCTATTTTCAATTTTTTGAAAAGTATTTTTTGTTATTTGCTGTAGGTGGACAGAATACCTATTTATTTATTTTTATGTGGTGCTGAGGATCAAACCTAGGACCTCTCATGTGCTAGGTAAGCACTCTACTGCTGAGCCAGAATCCCAACCCTACTATTTCCATTTTTAGATGTAGTTTTCCATATGTTTACCTACAAAATACAGTAAACCATGCCCTAAATTTCACAGAATTTCCTGAAATGCTCCATGTTTTTTAAGAGAGTTTTGATCATGCTAACATTCAATCTCCTTTGTGAGAAAGTGTGTTCTTTTAGTTGATTTTGTTGTATTCTATGCCTGTAATTGTGTACCTTTTGTATTATAATCATTTTTATGTATTTTATTTATTTATTTATTGTGTGTGTGTGTGTGTGTGGACTGCTGGAGATTGATCCACTGGAGGGCCACATACATGCTTGGGAAGTTTTCTACAACCAAGCTATTCTCCAGCCCAAGAGAATTAGTATTGTAGACTGTTGTTTATTTACTTGCTTACTTATTGAGTGCTGAAGATTGATGCCATGGACTTGCTCATGCTTAGTTATCCTCCAGAAATGATTTTCAATTTGTGAGCAGTGTTCTGGAGGTGGGCAGGTGTTTTACTGGGGAATAAACTAACAGGCACTTTGCCACAAAGCCCATTCTCAGCCCTTCTTCTTATTTACTTATTATTTCTTGTTCTTTTATATATATATAATTTTTTTTTAATTTTTTTGTATACTTGTACATGGACAGAATACATTTATTTTGTTTGTTTATTTTTCTGTGGTGCTGAGGATCATATCGAGTTCTGCAAACATGCTAGGAAGTGCTCTGACACTCAGCTACAATTGTAGTACCCATTTTTATTTTTGACGAAGACCAGTCTCACTAAATTTCTGAGTGTCTTGCTAATTTGCTGAGACTGGCCTCCAACTTGCCATTTCCCTGCCTTGACTTCCCTAGTGGCTGAAATTATAGGTACACATCACCATACCAGCAGTTGAATAACTTTTAAGACTTATCATCCAATTTGTTTCCAGATGAAAATAGTATTCAAAATCAGTTTATTTGCTTTTGTCCATACTTTTGAAATTTGTAAATATGACTCTTCCTCTTTGCTTTATTTTTGCATTATTATGAAAAAGTTATTTAGCATACAATATTGTTTCTTATGTAGATATTTGTAAAACTTCATGGCTTGATAGTTTATTCACTTCTTTATTATATAAACTTTATTTTATGAGCAATTTAGGCTTACATAATTTATTAGTCAGTGTTCTCTAGAGGAACAGCATCAGTATGATGTATGATTATAAAAGGGGAGGTATTAGATTGGCCTACTTGACCTGAAGCTGGTGTCCACAGTGGCCGTCTGCCGCTGGAGAGCTTGAGAAGTAGTAGCTACAGAGTCCAACAGGCTGAAGCCTCAGAACAAGAGGGATCAATGGTGCTGCCCTAGTCCAGACCAACGGTTCTGGAAACTTCCTGGAGAATCACTGGCAGAGTCCACGTTGGGAGAGTGAAGAAGGCAGAGTCTGATATCCTCAGGCCATTGCAGCAGCCATTGGAGAAGAAAGGGGCTTGCTCTGCTGCTGCTTCCTCCTCCTTCCAACTTTTGTGCCTCCCAAGACACCATCCTATTGGATGGTGCTGCCTAGCTTAAGGAGGTTCTCCAATTTGATACGCTGTTCCACATGCCAATCATTTGTAGACACACCCTCATGGACACACCCCAAAGCTTATTAATCACTGTATCTTTTAATCCAATCAAGGTGACAATTAAATGTGCCATGACTCATAGTATCGAATACCCGTTCTCTCCAGCCGATAGTCTCCACTGTTTTCAACATATTGCATTGGTGTAGGATGTTTGTTAGTTACTAAACCAGGGTTGAACATTTGATAAAGAGAATGGATGAAGCAAAACGTTATCATAAGCCAAAGTTCACCATTTACCTTAGGTTCCTCCTCTGTGTGATGTGACTTTGTGTGTCACATAGTATACAAGAAAATGTACAGAAGAGTTTCACTGCTCTGGGAATCCTGTGTTCCACCTGTTCATCACTCCTCTCATTCCTTCCTCCCTGTGTGCTCCCTGAGTCCCTGGCACCCATCAGTTCTGCTAGTGCATCTATAATGTTGTCTTTTCCAGAATGTTCTTGACTTGGAATCTTACTGCACTTGGCCATTTCAAAGTGGCTTCTCTCACTTTCCAGTCTGCCTTTAAGGGTGCTGTATCTTCCCAGGCTGCAGAGCTCACTTTCTTTGAGGTGGCCAAACTGCAGCTTGTCCATTCAGTATTGAAAGATGCATCTTCCTTGCATCTAGCTTTGGGCAGTTCTGGATATGGATGCTGTAGTCACTGTAGTGAGGGTTCCTGTGCCCATAATTTTCACATCATTTTTATAGACACCTGAAGTGTGATGACTTAATCATACAGTTTTTTGCATTCATGATTGAATTTTGCATTTGTGATTATGAGCATCATTCATAGTTTTCTATTTAATACTTTTCTTGATCCAGTTAATTTGGATAATATGGTAACTTATGCCTCAGAAAGAATTAGAAGATTTTAACTGAGCTTCTATGTTCTGGAAAAAATGTAGAAAATTGGTGGCAGTTTTTATGTGTCTCATGGAAGCCTGTTTGTGATGTTAGAGCCTTGCCTTACCTTTTGTAGTAGTAATTAGTTATTGAGTCTATTTTTTTCAGCAGCCATATGCTCATCTATTTTGTGTATTTCCCCTTGTGTGTAAAAATAAAAGACTGTCTCTCTCAACGAAAAGGTCCAGTTTTTGCAAGTTGCCTAATTTGTGTCAAGCACATTTAAGATAATCTTGAAGTCCCAATGCATTGTGGATGATGAGAATTTTAAATCTGTTAGTAGGTTTTCAGTCCTCTTTGCATTTCTCTTTAATGTTATTGTATAATTTACACTTTTAATTCTTTCTTTTTATGTGTCAGTGAGGATTGAACCCAGTTTTTCCCAGGCACTAGACAAGCACTCTTCCACTGAGCCGCATCCCCAGTCCCTGTCCTCTGTACTCTTAGCCTTATGTCCGTTTATCAGTGATGCTGATGTTCATGAAGAAGTTGATTTTGCGGACTGTGGGTTTCCTCATTGGGGTTTCATCCACACCTTCTCTGTTACCTTCCTGTGGTTAATTTAGGTTTACCTTGCTCTTCTTTCTCTGGTTTTTTGAAGTGACAGCTTCAATAATTGCTTTAGCTCCTTTTCTGAAATGTGTGTTGGATGACTTCGATACCAATACAGCACACCTCAGGTATTCTCTATGAATTTCCTGTGACGGACTTTTACATTTTTTTTCCTTCAAAATGGTCACATTTTCTCTTGAGTCACCACTTTGTCCTGTGTCTGTTTAGAGTCTTGTTTCATGTCCCCTTCCCTGGAGGCTTTTCACCTGCTCCTGATCTGATTTCTGCTTTTGCTCTCATGATCTTTGGGCATACATGGGATTTCACTGGTGGTGCACTTGTAGGGGTGTGGTTTATGTCCTGTGGAGTGTTTCTGTGACCCAGAGTCCCCAGTGTGCTTCCCAAGGGTTGAAGGCCCATGAAGCCCTCCTGCCTGCATCATTGTCCTGACAGAGTTGGGCTGATGTCTCTGAGTGTAAATGTGCATTCTTCATTGTTTTGGGTGGTTCTGTATGTTCTCAGTCCTTGCGTGTGGTTCTGTGTCAGTGGCAGGGACATTTTCTTTTTGCCTGTTCCATCATGGTGCAGACATCATAGCATGCTTACAGATGTGAGTGGTGGCCTGTTTCACACCCAGACTGTGTGGGATAGTTCAGGAATCTGGGCTACAAACTTGTTGCTTGACCACACTCTGGATGATCTTCTCCCTTAGGTTTGTTGGCACCACCATTGCTGCAGGCACGATGAATCTCTTTCACAACAGACAACCATTGCACATAAAGCCCAACATTGATCAAAATGTCCTTGAGCAGAACATTGGTATGTGTCTCATGACTACATTATGGTAGTGAACCGGCTGCTGTTAAGAAGAGTTTGACAATCATTGAACATGCCTTGTTGCTATGAGACTTAGAAATGTAGTGCCTTCTGTTTATTAAGAAGATTGTTTTGAGAGTTATAAAATTTTGTAAGGCTGTTGTTTGGACAGGTGACATTTTTGGGTCATTGAGTTACTTTTAAGACATGTGCCATCTTTCACTTCCCACATTCTGGTTTGACAGTAGCCACAGGAAATTATCAAATTGTTGTGTTTATTAATAAATAAATTAAATTAATCAAATAGAGAACTCATGTTTGTTTTGGCCATTTAATAGTAAGCTAGTTAACTAAATTTGTTCTGGAGTAAAGTACCTGCAAACTTCTAGTTGTTCTCAGTGTAATCACACAGGATGAGCTCAATCTCCAGCTAATGCATTGTGACAACCTGTGTGAAAGTTTGTCTAAATGTTGTCTGTGAAGGTATCTTTTTAGTGACCCCATGCCCAGAGGGTGTGCGTGGGGGCTGGTTCTAGGCATTTCTTTAAGTATGGAACAATAGACTTTCAGAGGAAACAAGACATCAGTAAATACCATGTTGTCTATATTAACTTTGTAGGTACAGGGAGCCACTGTAATTGGCAAAATCTCTTAGTTTCATGATTCCTGCAATTTCCTACTCATCACCTTTGTTTTCTAAATAAGTACTATCAAAAGTACTTATATTAGCTCTGTACCACACAACACGTTTCTAGGACATATAATAGAGATGCAACCAATAAAGAAGTTAGGAGTAATCTGGGAGCCTGTCTTACTTCCTGTGAACTCACCAAAGAAAAGGTATAAATCACTATGATGTTTGCCTTCTGAGTAGCCAATTTCTAGTGTTGGAATGGCTGGAAGAAGTTGAGTACAGTAAAGATTTGATGGACCAAATCGTGGAATTAATCGAGAGGCCAGGGAATCATGTGAACATCATGCATGTTGAGTATAGATTTCTCATGCTGTCAATCTCTCCTGGCCTCCACTATACATTTGGGGGGATATTTTAGATCTCAGTGACCTTTGAGGATGTGGCTGTGAACTTCACCAAGGAGGAGTGGGCTTTGCTGGATCCTTCCCAGAAGAACCTTTACAGAGATGTGATGCTGGAAGTCCTCAGAAACCTGGCTTCTATAGGTAATAATGACGTTTCTAAAATTAATCAAATCGAGAACTCATGTTTATTTTGGTCATTTATGCAGAAGGTGAAAAGGGAATCAATTGGTGAATTATTGCAGCATAAATGGCACCTAGGATTTGGCAAAGCATTTCTGGCTCCTAAATACTCATAAAGATTGTTGTGTTCTCATTTTAGGAAAGAAATGGGAAGACAAGACCACTGAAGACCCTAATGAAAACTCTGGGAGCAATGTAAGGTAAGTGTACTCACAAGAGGAGTCCACGATGGGGTCTGAGAACGGTCATATCATTTTTAAAGGAAACCAACCAAAGAAGTATGCATAATTTGAGAAGTATTTCTTCTTATAGTGTTTTTTACCAGAAATATATACTTAGCTGTAACAGATATTCAGTCTTTTCAAAGTATTTGACATTCAAAAAGTACTATGAAATTGCATATGTGAATACCACTATTTGGATAATAGCCATAGAGAAGCTGTGTTGAAAAGGATTGTTTGCTTTCAATCTCCTTATTTTTAGGCAAGTTGAACAAGTCAGCAAACCTAGCCTTTACCTGATGTTGGTAGTAATGTAAAGATCTATCAATACATAGAAAATGGTGAATGAATCAAGCATTGATTACGTGCTGGTCACTTCTTCTTCCTTAAAGAAGTCATATGGTAAACTCAAAGGCACAAAATAGTGTGGGAGAAGCTTCAAATCGATTCCAATTCTTACTTGAACAAAGAAAAATTTTAATAGAGTAAATCCATGTCACTTCATTATGTGTGCAAAAGACTTCATATGACCTTCATTCCTTCATAGGCAGATCACATCATACTCTGGACACAAATACTACAAGCATGAGGAATGTGAAGAGAAGCCATGTGAATTTAAACAATGTAAGAATGCTCTGGTTTCTCCCCAAAATATTCACACACAAATGTTAATACAAACTGGAGATGGACTTTATGAATCTACAGTACATGGGAAAGTCATCAGTCACTCCAGTGACATTCAAAGGCATGGAGATACTCATACTGGGTGGCAACCCTATATATATCAGCAATGTGGTGAAGCCTCTTCTTATCCCACCAGTGTTCCAAGACACATGACAACACACAGTGGAGATAAACATTTTCAATGGGACATATGTGGGAAAGCCTTTGATTTCTCCTCTTTATTTAGAAGACATGAAGGAACTCATTGTGGAGAGAAACTCCATGAATGTAAACGAGGTGGTCAGACCTGTATTTCATACACAAGTCTTCAAAGGCACAGGATCACACACATGGGGAAGGAAGGTTTAAATTGTAAGGTATGTGGGAAAGACTTTGCTTATCCCAGTTTACTTAGAGTACATCAGAGAAGGCATACTGGAGAGAAGCCCTATGAATGTAAGCAGTGTGGCAAAGCCTTTGCTACATCTCATAAGCTTCATATACATGGAAGAATACATACCGGAGAAAAGCCCTATGAATGTCAACAGTGTGGAAAAGCCTTTACTACTGCCTCCTACCTTCAGATACATGAACGAACTCATACTGGAGAGAAGCCCTATGAATGTAAGCAGTGTGGGAAAGCCTTCGCTCAGTCCTCTCACCTTCACTCACATGAAAAAACTCATACTGGAGAGAAGCCCTATGCATGTAAGCAGTGTGGCAAAGCCTTTGCTACATCCACTAAGCTTCATATACATGGAAGAATACATACCGGAGAAAAGCCCTATGAATGTCAACAGTGTGGCAAAGCCTTTACTACATCCAGTTACCTTCAGATTCATGGAAGAATGCACACTGGAGAGAAGCCCAATGAATGTAAGCAGTGTGGCAAAGCCTTTGCTACATCCTCTACGCTTCACAGACATGGAAGAATACATACCAGAGAAAAGCGCTATGAATAACAACAATGTGGAAAAGCTTTTGCCACATCCTGTCTGCTTCATACAAGTGAAAGAACAGATACTGCAGAGAAATAGTATGCATGTAAACAATTGGTAAACTTTTCTGTTATTACTGTTTCACTCATATACATGTAGGACGTTACTGGAGAAAAATCCTTTGAATGTAAAAATGGTAAATCAAAAACTTTTCAGAAAAGCAATTTTCCCTCAGGAGAGCACCGAACTTAGCAACATATCCCATGAATCACCTTCATAATTCTTTATATTTACTTATGATTTCTAGGATTGCAAAAATATTTTTTGTTTATCTTTCTATCGTCGAAAAATTCCCAGATCTTATGAGTTTGACATCACAACTTCTTCTTCTGTCTAATTCCCTTACTTTCTACAATTCAACCCACAACACTCTGAAATCCTAAGTGCACTTAACTTCTGGAGAGAAATTCCAAACTCACTAAATTTCTAAAATTGACACTGAAGTTCAAGTACAGGACACCACTTGTCCCGACATAGGACTAAACCAGCCAGAGTCACTCCAGGTGAACTGGGCTGCATGACATTGTCACACAGAGACAGAGAAATGTCTTTTTCTTTGGTTCTGTGATGGCTCCCTCACCCAGCTCCCCTAAAGGAGGCAAGGCAGGTAAGAATGAGAGAGAGCAGGCCTGGAGCCCCACTTTATGGGGGAGAAGCCACTCAAATGAGGATAGGGTCAAGATTCAGGGGGTGGAGTCTTCCTGATGTCTGCTGCCAGTAGGTTGACATCCTGGAAGGCCACGCCCATCTCATGTGCTGTGTGGGGATCAAGGGCAGAGCAAAGGAAGGGGACACACAAGGGGAGGTTCCATGGAACATTCTATCCCAAAAGGGCACAGAGTAGGATTCCAAAGGAACAGGAGGGTGTAACTCGACCCCACTGGCGGACTCCTACTCCTGGAGCCACACCTCATTATCTGAATGGGGGTGAGGCCCAATGTGTTGTGGGGCACAGCAGCTGTTCCATACTCCCCTACACAGGACTTATAGTGACTCCCGACAGCAGAATTCACAGCTCAGATTGGACTCCGGGGCCAGCTGCCCAGCGTGTGGTGGTCAGAGCACCCCAGGGGGCTGTCTCCTGCGCAGTCAGCACAAAGGCAATCGCTTCTCTTGGGTAAAGCTGTGGGACGAACGTGAGGCAGTCAGTGTCCGGGTCCAGCAGTGCTCACAGGGTCCCACTGTCCCATGGTCTACAGAAGCAAAAATTGCTTCTTCCCCTCTCCCCGTCCAAGCTCTGGGGTGGGCACGTCACAGGCTTTAAGTGGGTGTTATTTGAAGTTGTCCCACTCAGAGTCTGAGCCATGACCTAATGGAGCACAGCTCCACGACCATGGTTTACATCATGAGTTGGTAATTGTGACGTTTTGGCAAAAATAATGGTGAATGTGTTGTCACAGAAATTGTCTCATTTCTGTGTTCTTTTTAGCTTGATTTCATGGGAGGTTTTTACATATTTCATCTGACAAGGGAGCAATCTGGATGCTGGGTGAAGAGGGTGAGGGGCTCCCTAGGGTTGAGGACCCAGGATGCTCCTGTGGGCACATCCCTGCATCCTCCAGGGGAAGTTCGATGCACAGGGTGCCTTTTGTCTGGGGTGTCTCTGGGTCACGTCCTCTCCACTGTGTGGAGAGGGTCCCGGGTCAGGACGTTGGGGTCCCAGGAGCCTGGGTTTCCTATTGGGAGTCAGAAGCCTGAGCAGTAACCTCCACACAGGGGCCAGGGGCTTAGGATCCTGTCCCCATTGCTCAGCCCCAGCCAAGGAGGTGATCACGGAGGTACTAAACAAGGGACAGAGAGCAGCAGGCGCCAGCACAATGCAGCCCAGTGGATGACTGGATTTGGCCACCCAGGATACAGGGACAGAAGGGGCTCAAGCCTCTCTGCTGGGGGTGTGGAGGGACAGGACAGTTCTGGCGAGAATGCCCAGAGCCTCTGCAAATTATTTCCTGAACTGACCAAGGAGGCTTGCAAGCAGCTAGTCAAGACCACAAAAATATGCCCCTTTCCTTCCTGTTGTCGCTTAACAACCTGCTGGAGTAAATCCCCAAGATTAAAATCTAATGCCTTATGGCAAGTAGATGTCACTCATTTTGAACCTTCAGGAAATTAAAATATAACTATGAGGTCACTGATACCTATTCAGGCTGTGGAATGGTCATCCCCATCTACTTAAGTGCTTTGGGATCATGGCAGCTCCTTTCTCCATGAAAACGGACACGGGGTCCAGCCTGGGCAAGCAGAGCCTTCAAGGAATTTTGCTCTACATGGCACAGAAATCATGTCACTGGGATCCCCTATAACCCTCAGGTTTAATGCATTGTAGACAGAACACGCAAGGAATTAATGACCAGGCTACAAAAATGGGGCAGGGGGAGGGAGAAGGCTCTACCAAATCCCCTCACAATGCCTTGAACAAAATCTTGTTTGCTTCAAATTTTCTTTCAACTTCAAAATTTTCCATGGAAACAGCCACCCACAAACAGTAGGCCCCCTTCACTGTGCCCTGCCATTTACCTATAATCTCCCAGCTGGATCCCATCACAAGTGCATGATGGTCCAGCGTCCCTCCTAAAACTGGGTCCAGGGTTTGTACATGTTGACAGAAGCCTCACCCCATCTGGGTGCCTGCAGTGAAACTGCCTGCCATGTAAATTCGGCTTTGGACCATTGGCCACCAAATTAGCGGTGGTCAATTGGGAAGGAGCCCTATCTAAGCTCTTTTCTAATAATTCCTTCCTCATTGATCCTGAGGTAGCCATACAAGGACCACCCGTGCAGGGGAACACCAGCACTACCACTCCTGCTCGGCTGAGTGGTTTCTCCGTCGTTGATAATGAGACCTACAATCAGAACCGTCCTCTCTCTTTTGCTCTTGCTAATGAAACTTTTGTAGATCAATATAACAAGTCCTATGCTGGCTGTCTCTCACTGACAGTTGGTAGTTAACGCTACCAAAAGCCATAGACTACCTCCCCATGGCAAGTGCAAGAAACTCTTCCTGCCAACATGCCCAACAACACTCTTTAGAAAGCCCCCCTCTTATAATGACAGCACCCCGTGGAATCCATGTGTGGCAGCCACACCTTATCTCCTTGGTAAGAGAAATTTCTTTGGAGAAGATCAACACCTAAGTGCCGGGTTGGGCGCAGCTCCCTGGAATGTAACCCATGTGCCTCAAACCATGTGGGCTAATGCAGTAACTGCTCCCTGGGACGATCTGTCACCAACCATTATGCAGGAAATCAATATGGCATGATGGATATCAGGCCAATATTGCTGGCCACTAGACCCTTCAAATGGGTGGCATCTGGCTGGATGCATGAGTGGATAATGGGCCCTAAACCCAACATATACCTTCATCCCAAAGTATACCCATACCCACTGTGCACAAGCGTGTGTCACGCCACCCTTGCCATGCTCATAATCACTGCCTCTGATGGTGTAGTTATCACTCATGCAGAGATCCCTTGTGCAGTCAATGCATCCTGCTGGCTCACAACCTGTCTACACCGGCTATGAAAGCTAAATGTGTATTGATCCTCAGATGCCCCCCGCAGCCTGGCTTCCACTGAACCAGTCCAAGGAGTGGAGGAGTCCATGGGACATGCAGAGGAAGCATCTTCTCAGTGAGATCCTGCACCAGACAAGGCGTGATATTGCCCTCATCATTGCTGGGATTGTTGCCTTAGTGGCCGCCATCGCCACCATGGCCACTGCCACTGCTGCACTCACTCAGAGGATCCACACTGTGCAGACTGCAAACAATGTGTCCCCTGTGTGGCAGCAGCCTTCGCCTCTCAAAATGACTTAAATAAACTGAACTGAACCACTATTTTCCTCATTCAGCAAGAACCAGACCTCCACCAGGAGCCACGAAGTGTTCTGTTTATGTTGCTAAGGCTCACAGTCACTCTGAATTTCATAGTATTTGCGTCACCCAATACGCTGTATCTGACAATGGAACCTTAGAGTTCTCCACTTTTTCTCAGTTCATGAAGGGCGCTTGGGATGCTCACTGTGTTACGACTGCATGACGTCACTAAGGCCATGGTCAAAATCAAGGGGACTAAGGTGTCTGTCTCAACAGCCTCCTCTTTCTTCCAGGGATTGGCTGAACATTGGAAAAACCTGAGAACCAAGTTACTAACCCTTATAACGCTATTACCCTGGCCCTACTGAGTGTGACAGTAATAATTTTTTCTTGTGTTGGGAGACGCTTATGCAAGCATGTGAAGGCCACCAAACAAAAATAAGGGATGCTAGCAAAAGTCCTTGTGGCAAGTCTGAGGGGGAGACGTGGGGACAAGGGCATGGACAACTGCATATGTGGCATACATGAGGGGCACCTGAGTGGCAGGCCACTCCCCTCCAGCTAGGAGTGTGAGCTGCAGGCTGCTCACCCTGTAGGCCCCTCCCTGGGCGTGAGGCCACCTGTTGCAGACCCTGCACTTGCTCCACGGCCTGCTACTTGTTTGGTTGTGGCTCTTCAGAGTCACTCCTGTGCCAGCAGTTGCTCAACAGAACAACCTTGGAATCGTCAGTAGGCCAGAGGGAATATTGGGGGGCCTGCTTTGGTCTCCTAGAGTTGTTCCGAAATTGTATTGGTGGCTGCGTGTAATGTGCTTAGCTGCTGCCCGAGTGTATACACATGGTAACTGCGCAATAAAATCAGACCTGCTTCCTGCTTGGTGTCTGGAGGTCTTGATTCGTGACTCTCTAGCCACACTGTCCTCGACCCTGTTCCGTGGGCCTCGTTGCTGGATGAGACAGAGCCCACACAAACACAAAGGCCCGGTTTCCTTGGAAGCAATGTACAGAAGCAAACGCACGGACCCAGACATGGAGCAGTGCACCAGACACACAAGCACCTGAGGACTGAAGATTGAACACCACAGAGGAGGCTTGTAAAACCAGCGGTCATAACACAGGACGGTCAGCAGGGGGCACTCTGCTCACGACCAAGTGTTGAAAACAGGCCCCCTGCATCAAGGAGAGGATTGTAAACTCAGGAAACTGGATGAAGTGTCTGCACAGGAGCACAGCCCAGAGAGCAGAGAGTGACTGCAGAGATGTGAAAGAGAGGTCCCGCGAGGTGTTGGCAAGGAAAAGGTCCCCATTAAGGGCCTGTAGGCTGGCTGGGGATTAAATTGGCAGTAAGAGAGAAACAGGGACAAAAGCTACTCAGTCCCTTGCATGTGCAGGGGCGTCTCCCTCAAGTAGAGACCCAGAAAAGGGCCAGGTTGCTGAAGACTGCGGAGCCTCTGGAGTACAGAATGGAACCAGCAGGTGTCTGGATGCTGGGGAAGATGACAGGAGGGAAGGTAGATGGTGGGGGAGGAGGGGGCCTTGCTGTGCAGACAGGTCCCGGGGTCAGTGTTGGGTGGGAGAGGCAGCCCGGCTGGTCAAAATAATAACCTTGCTTTAATTTGATTTAATTGGAGCCAGTGGTCTTTTCTTGCGTCCTGGTCTAACACCCTCCCCTGCGCCACACTCACTGTTGTTTGTGTTCCTAGAAGCTGCCATTGTCCCTAGAGTGAGATGAAAGAGGAATTTTGATCTCTAAGAACCTTTTTAAAATCAGCTGTGTTTCTCCAAATAGAGAATAGTGACGGAGGAAGGTGAGAGCTGAAGGGACTCAGGTCGACCAGAAGCCGGGCAGGGCTGGGAGCTGGTGGGCTGTGCCAGTGGCTGGAGGGCAGCAGGACAGAGCAGGCTGAACAGACAGATGTCAGTCATGGCTGGGGTCCATCCTGATGGGTGGCTTTTCCTGTCTGAGGTGTAGATCCTCAGGCAGTAGCTGCTCTCTGGATGTCACACTCTCAGGTCTCATTGTAGTGAATGTGTCTGTGCAGGATCTAATTGGAGGCCACCTTCTCTCTGCTCTGGAGAGGACAGAACAGCTTATGCCCACCCACACACGGGCCACCGCCCCTGGTGCTATTCACCTCCTGAGGACACCTGACTGAGACCTTCTGGTGTCCTCAGTCATCTCTCTGTGATTCTTGTCCCTCCACAGGAGCAACTCTGTGGAACAGGCACTTCCTGACCCTGCTCTTCCAGCCAGAGGGTGCCTGAGCCTGCCAAGGGGGAGGGGCCTACCATGCTTTGGGGACAAGTGGTCCAGCTTGACCTGCCTTTAATCCTTGAACTCTGCAGAGACCCTTGGGAGACCCGCATCCTCATGCTTGGCTCGGATCCCTGGTTCCAGCAGGCTCATAGTTCACACCCAGCCCATGGCTGGCTTACCACATTGCCACATGCTCATCACTCAGAGCTAAGGGACCCTCAGTTCCAATGTGGCAGCTCCAGACACACTCAGGTCATTGCACTGGTCAGAGGGCTGGTGTATTAGTCTTCCTGGGCTGCTGTAACAAAACACCCAGCCTGGGGCCTTCAGACCACAGACCGTGACTCTTCACCACATCCCTAGCCCTGTTGTGTATTTTATTTAGAGTCAAGATCTCACTGAGTTGCTTAGCACCCTGTTTTTGCTGATGGTGGCTTGAGCAATCAATCCTCCTGTCTCAGCCTCCTGAGAGGCTGGGATTACAGTCCTGCACCACCATGCTTGTACTTCTTATTTCCTCATTGGTCTGATACCAGGTTGGAGTCACCATCTGGGGTTATTTTCTCAGATCCATCACACTTATGCTCCCACCCACTTTCTTTGAACCACAATGAAAAGGGGGGCTGGGGATGTAGCTCAGTGCTAAAGTGCCCCCACCCTCAATTCAATCTCCACATGGGGGACAATAAAAGCACCTGGGATTCAATTCTCAGCTCTGGGCAGCTATGTGCCCATGTTTCCACACTTTTTACACAAGAGCCCCCCTGGTCCATGGGCAATATTGTTAGGTATAATGAATGTGAGACACTATGCAGGATGTGAAAGACTTCACAAAGTCCAACTTAAGAGAAGAGAATAAAATGGTATATACTTTCCATTATTGGGGTTAATATGTCAGGGTGTCTTGGACACAACTGGCAAATTTTTATGTTTTACTTGCTGGCTTTCTGGCAGAGCTGAGCAGGGTTATTATTTCTTTCTGATAGTTAAACCCAGGAAGCTGAGAGCCCTGGGTCAGCTTCTGGGGGTACATTGCTTCCTAGGCAGGATGCAGATGGGCTTGTGGCTTTTCTTGAAAATGTTGGTGCATCTCAAACCTTGACATAAAAAGAGTTCACAAAGGGGGACTTTATATTGAGAGAAAATAATGAGGTCAGTCTGTGCAATAGAATGACATGTTTCAAGGGGGCAAATGAGCTTGAGTTCACAGACATGTTATGAGGCTACAGATGCCTGAAGCCTAACCTAATGCATTTCTACATATTATGATATTATTAGCATATCACCTAATGCAATAATAATACAATATTATTCTTTTACAATTAATACTAACTCCTACATACAATTTCCCCTATACATTCATGACAATGATTTCCCTTTCAAGAAAATATCAAAGCCCTTGTCAGCACCTAAACACAGGATAAGACAGGGTTTCCTTATCTCCCTAGTGTAGCTGCACTGGTCAAAGTTCCTTTCCTGATTTCAATCAACAACTTTTCTTTTTGATTTTAGGGCAAACAGCTGAGCAGACTTGTGGGATCAGCAGAGTCAGGTCTGTACATAAGAATTGATAATACTAGAATGTAGACTATCTACATTGAGCACAAGGCGCCCATTTTATTTCTGCTGCACATTGCTGTTTTAGAAGGTTGCCTGCCTCCCCCCCACCCGACCCCTTTCTCTGCTGGGGATGGAACACTGAGCCACAGCCCCAACCCCAAATGTTTCCTTTTATAGCTCAGGCTGCCTCCTCAAAGATCAGAGGCCAGGAGGTAATGAGAAATACTAAAATAATTTTCAAACTGTTTTCATTAGTAGAAATCACATATATGTGGATATATATGATATCTTTAAACAGTGTTTCAAAAATTTGGAGACAGTGTCTTTCTATTTTGCCTGAGGTATATATATTGTTTATTTTTATATATATATATATATATATATATATTAAAACCAGTGGGGCTTGACCTGGACCACTGAGCTACATCCCCACTCTTTTCATTTCATTTTAAGAGAGGGTCTCACTGACCTTGGGCTCCTCCAGCCTCACCCTCCCTGAGAAGCTGTGCTTTGTTTTTGTGTTGAGGTTAAACCCAGGGGCTCGCCATGCTCAGAAAGCACTCTATGGCTGAAGCCTAGCGCAGCGCCAGGTGTCACCTCTGTACCAGAGGCTAAGCCAAGGCTTCCCACCTGGATTAGTTCCAGCACAGCTGAAAAGCTCCGCCTGAAAAGGGCTGGGGCCAAGCATCTGTCACTCTACCCTATTTCAGCCAGTGATTGGATGCTGTTTGATGTCAATCACGATGCAGAGGCGGGCCTGGAGGCTGTCGATCCCGGATGCTGGGGGAACTGCCCAATCAATGCACAGAGGGAGAGGAAGGGCGGGCTTCCGGAATCTCGCGAGCGTTTCTTCCTCAGCGACTCCCCTCCTTATCCTTCAAGCCAAGAGTTCTCTGCTCCAGGGACTCAGGTGACTCTGCTTTGCCTGTGTCCCCCAACCCCCATCTCGGGTGCCTGGAGGTTCCTCGAGAGGACGCCGGGTCACCACAGAACACAAAAATGGTGAGTTTGCGACCAGGGCTGAAGGCACGCGTCACCACCTGCCTTGGGGCCTGGTGCCCGGGTGAGCTGGGGAGAGCGGCGGAGTCGTGGCCCTGTCCCTTGGCCTCGTGGGGTGAGCTGGGTTTTGGGTTTTTGAGGTGAGCTGCTGAGCGTGGCAGAGTCCCCGCTGGAGGGTGGCCCTGTTCCCTGTTCCCTGGGTTTGGAAGGGCGGCTCAGGTCCCTGGTGTCCCCTTTGCTCCCTACTGGTGGCCCGACCCACTCTTCCCAACGTGGAGGAAGCAGGGCCACAAATGCACCTTCTCCCAGGGGAGCTCCTCCGGAGGCTGCTGTAGGTTCCCCAAATTGCAGGCGCCTCCTGCCTTCTAAACCCCACCTTCCCTCCAACTCACAGCTCGGCCAGACGTTCGTTCTTCCCACTGGTTTCAAATGGACACCGTCCGCTAATTGTCACTTTTCATCTAGTGAAATGTTGGAGAGAATAGTTCTTTTCTTTTAATTGGGGACCCAAACTTGGGGAGCTTTATCAGCCACATCCCCAGCCTCCACTTTTACTGAATTTTGAGATCTGCACCCACTTGGTGTGGAAGCTGGTCTCCAACCTGTGATCCTTCTGTGACCGCTGTTTACCAGTGACGAGTCCTTGCTTCCCCGAATGCTGAAGTATAACACCAGAGAAGCACGCTGAGGCAAGTGTAGAGTGGAAAGTAGAGGTTTATTAAAGGACAGCAGAAAACACTTCTCCCCGCAGGAAGAAGGGGACCCAAGAGGTGGAATCCCTGTAAGGGGGAGGTCTTCCCTCTTTTATAGCTAAAGTCTTCTTTCCGCTTTCCCACACTTTGTTTCTCATTATGTTGCAGTGATAGAATGCAGGTGGGAAGGTCCAAAAGGTGGGAGATTGGTGGGCTGGAGGAGTAATCAGGGCAGGAAAGGCCTGGGGTGGATTTTGGATTATGATTATCAGTTCCTTAGAATGGATTCCTGCCTTGGGGACATTAACATTTCAATTGCTGCTCTGGTTTCCAGGACTCCATTCTCTATAATGGCCTCTGTTTTATTTATCTTACACAATATTAGACCCAATTTACCTAACTACCTATCTGTAAATCTGGCTTCACTTCTGCTTCAGCCTCCAAAGTTCCTGGGATGACAGGGCTGTGTGGAGGGGGCAAAACTGTGACTTATGCAGTGAAGGGGAGAAATAAAGAATGTCCACACACTTCTGCCCCTTTCAATGCTCTATTCACTCAAATTACTTAATACAGTTGAACTGTATAGGTTCTTAATCAAGAAAACAACAATCCTTAATGCTAGACATTGCCATAGACATAATCAATTCACAGCAAAATGTGCCACAGCCTGGAAGCAGCAAACTAACTGGGGGGTGAAGATCAACTTGTGAAGGTGGATACAGCAGGAGTGGGAGCCGTTTATTGTAGGACAGTAGGGGTATATCTACATAATTAAGAACAAGCTGTGTATTCAGTTAACGAAAACTAGGTATAACAGTCAACCAATAAGGAATCATCATCTTAATGATTACACACAGCTTAAATTAATTGACGTAATCTAGACACAGCAGTCACTCATTAAGGAATCTCTATCATCTTAATGGCTTGCTGGCCTTACTTCTCAACCACTACTTCCTTTGGCTAAAAGCCAGGTGCCATCTTGACTTGTTTATCACCCTAACTGCAACAATTCTAGGTTAATTAATTCAGAGCAAACAATTCCAGATTCATTCTAAGCACTGGAAAACACACTTAATTATGATAAGCTAATGACATTCCCTCTGCATGCTAAGTTCAAAGATCTTATGTCTTAGGCTGTGAGTCCAGCAGATGCACACTCACTCAGACCTCGGTGACCAGGTCTGGAACCAAGGCAAGCATTTCCTGGTGTGGAGCAGAGGAGCAGTTGAGGAGGGGGTCCTAGGGAGGAGATGCAGCTCTCACCAAGGTCCAGATGAGGCAGTAGAGTTTGTGAATGGTGAGGATCTTGCAGAGGCTCGGGAAAGATGCCAAGTGATGGGATGTCAGGTCCTCATCAGACTCTCCAGCTCAAGTGCATCCTTGTTTCTGTTGGCTGAATTCCTGCTCATCAGCTCTATCATTTATACTACATTTGGGGGCTTTTGATCACGCTTTCAATCCTTATCAGCTACCACCCTATTTCTCAGTGACATCATTTACCCTGGGATCATCTCCACCCTGATCTTCTTGCCTTTCCCTCTTATCAGGCAAGGACAGACTGCCAGAGGCTTCACTCTCTTTATCAGGGTGAGGGGAAGGAACTTGTTTGAGGCCTTACTGGAGGGATCTGTGGATGTGCCTGGTGAAACTGCAGGTCTTTTAAAATGGAGTTGCTTAGGCTCAGGCCTAAGGCCATTCTAACAAGGCCTGTGTCCCTGGTAAGAAGAACACTTTTGAAAGCATTTGTTTTCTATTTGTGATTATTATACTTGAGAGGAAAGAATAATCACTTAACACTTCTCTGTGTTTGGTCAAAATAATTACTTTAAAAGGAAAAAGCCATTTGTACATAGAACCTAGGGATATTGAATCTTGGGTTATGTTCCAAGCCCCCTGCCCCAATTTGACATAAATCATTTATTTACTTAAATTTGTTTTTATTAGTTATACATGGCATTAGAATGCATTTTCACACAGTACACATAAATAGAGTGTCACTGCTCCCTTTTCTGGTTGTACTTGATGTGGATTCACACCAGTCCTGTAGTCATATATGCACATAGGATAATAGTGTTTGATTCATTCTTCTGTTCTTCATCCCCAACTCTTTAAATTTGATTTTCAGATGGGGTCTGGCTATGTTGCCCAGCCTGGCCTGTAAGTCCTGACCCTCCTGTTTCAGTTTCTCAAGCTGTTGACATTAAAGGCATTGGCAATCCCAGCTATGGAAAATAGTTCATTTTGATTTAAATATTAATGACCATACTCAGGGACATCGATTCAAGTGACCCTAAATGATGTATGTGTCCCACCCTGAAAGACAAGGATTAAACACAGGGGCACTTAATCACTGAGCCACAATCAGTCCTTTTTAGATTGTATTTTGAGACATGATCTCATCAAGTTCCTTCTGCCCTCACTAAATTGCTGAGTCTGACTTTGAGTGTAGCGATCCTCCTACCTTATCCTCTAAAGCTACTGGGATTACAGTTGTGTGGCACTGTGTCTGGCCTACATGAACTTTTATAAAAGAAACTGTGTATCACTACATTAACCAATTTCATTGGTAGGATCATCAGATTGGTGGGCTGCAGAAAGAAAGAAAGGAAGGAAAAAAAAAGAAATTTCTTCTGACTGTTGTTATTACATTCTTACTTTGGTAGATGGTGGGGACTAAATGTCTGGTAAGGGTAGGGATATATTCTGAGAAATTTAATAGTTTTGAGAATTGTGGTCTGATACAGAAATTAAGATAATTGGCTATTAAAGGGCTTAAGATAGACCAGGATAATTTTTGTTCTCCATACAGAACCCTGCCTTTCCACCCTCATGGTGGTCTGGTTAGCCAAGTCAAATACTCTGAAGGTTCTTTGATGTAAATGCAACTGTATAGAGAACTTGAGTGCACAGCCGTAAAAATCTTGTGCTTCTCCCTTTATCTTCCTTAGGTGTAGACACCATGTCAGATTTCTTGGGCAGAGGTTCCCTTTGGACGCCTCACAAGGTCCTATGTCCTCAGCCACTGTCCTCTCCTGGAGCTGCCACAAGGTGCCCACAGCTGCCCTGGTCCCTGCAGGGTGAACAGAACTTCAGGCCCTGGGTCAGTTCCTCCTAGAGGACACCTGAGGTGTGGGGTGCAGCCTCTCAGGGAAGCTGCTGGGGGCTCTGGGCTGAGGAATCTCCTGGAACAGGCCTCATCAAGACAGCTACTTCCTTGGGACCTTGTTTTTCCCAAGCTCTGTTCCCATTCTGTGGAGAGAGGTGGCCAGTCAGCTTGTGGATGCTGGTGTTGAGGGTCCACGTCACCAGTGATTCCTGCCCTTTCAGTCTCACAGTGTGAAGGAACGACACCTCTCCAAGAGCATAAGCAGCACCCACCCCAGTGCAGAGCTGTGCAAACCTGAAAAGCCTCATAGACTGGAGTCATGGTCTAGGTCCCTGGGAGGGTGATCCTGGAGGCTTTCAGGAAGCAAGACCAGGAGAGGTCAATCCCAGATGTCAGGGACCTTCCCTGCCCCTTGAGCCTGACACATGTGTGCTCCCTCAGCACCAAAGCTTTCTGTGTATCACTTTGCAATGATGTGCTCACATTTTGAGGCCCAGGTCTATTTTTTCAGAGCCAAATGGGATGGACTATTATCAAATAGACAAGAAAGAAGTGGATTTTAAAAACTCTAGTTACATTTCCATTGTGAAAACAATTACAGCCAGGTACAGTGGTGCTCACCTGTGATCCTTGCTGTTCCAGAGGCTGAGGCAGTAGGATTGTAAACTTCAGCCTTAGCGACTTAGCCAGGCCTTATGTCTGGGGTTGTGACTTATCAGTAAAGTTCCTCTGGGTTTAATCTCTGATCCCAAACCAAAGAAAAAGAACAGAACAGAAAAACAAACAAACAAAAAATAAATAAATAAACACATCTAATTTATCTTTTGCTACCCCTGAGTATGCAGAGAAAATTGGTGAGATTTGATCTTATCTTTTCAATGATTTCCAATTGAAATTCATGTCCTAGATTCCACAATGCCACTTAAGATACAGAGAAACTCTGTCTACCATTATTGCTGCAGGAAATGAATCCATTTCTACAAAAATTATGGTGGATAAATTTATGAATTTGATTTTATGTAAATTAGTTACAGTCGTTGACAAGCTGATGAATTTGACAGGAATGACAGTTTGTTGTTACTGTTTTTGTCTGGACTTGGTGGGTTCATGTTAGCTGTGTGTTTTTTGGTATCAGGAATGGAACCCAGAGGTGCTTAGCCACTGAGCCACATCCCTGGCCCCTTTTAGATTCTTCCTTTTGAGTC